TCTCTCTCTCTCTCTCTCTCTCTCTCTCTCTCTCTCTCTCTCTCTCTGACTCTCACAAGCCTTTTTCCCATCTCTGGGCTCTGTGGCCAGACCTCCCCTTCCTGGCTCCTAACCAGTAAGCCACCCCCAGTGTCAGAGGGTATCACAGCGAGGCTCTGAACCCACTCCGGTTTCTAGTCATTCTCCTTCCGACTGCAGTAAGCACATGGACCCCCGAGCTCTGATCCTCACCTAGAACGGTCCCTTAGTCTCGTTGCTAAGATTCAGTGACCTCATGAGGCCAGTCGGCTACATAGTGAGTTCCAGAACAGCCTGGTCTACTACATTCTGATACCCTATCTCAAAATGCAGAACGAAACCAAGGTAGAGTGAAGTCACACGTGCACTGGGCAGTTTTGCAGCAGGTGCTAGAGGCAGACACTGTTATTTGAACAAAGGCTCCTGTAACTTGGCAAGTTGACCCAGGTGTGAATGTCACCTGGGCCTTGGCAGGACAACTCACCAGGGGACCATGGGTAACTCCTGCCCCCTGGTGGTCATGTACTGCATTGCAGTCTTACTGCCACTCTGGGTACTCCATCACCTGTGTCTGGCATGGGAGTCCTGGAAGTTTTGAGCTGGGCTGCTAAACATTTGTAAGACGTGTGCCTGTCCTGAGAGCCTGTGATTTCTTTGTTCTGGCCCTGGCTTCTGGTTCTTTCGTGTATCCACAGATCAACTCAGGTGCTATGAGTTTACCTGTAGCCATCGGACAGCATCTGAACCAGGAGCCATGGCCACGTCCACACCAGGGACAGGATGTCAAGATTCAGGCTGCATGCATAGGTCCACCCTGACAGACTAGCTTTGGACGATGTGTCTCATGCCAAACTGAATGTCCACTTTTATTTGCTCTTCTGCAAGCGAGGTTAGGGTTGGTTTCACAGAGCAGTAGAAGGCTGCGGGGTCCTAACATTAGAAAAGCAGGCAAAATGGAGGCCAGCAGGGGACACAGCTTACCAAGGGCCACACCGTAGGTCAGGGTTGTCCTGACTCTTTGTCTCCAAGAACAGGCTACCCCACCAACCCTGACCTCCTTCTCATCTCTCTGCTAGGCCTAGAGTCTGGATTCTGCACCATCTCACGCCTGCCACGCGTGGAAAAGCACGGCAACCGTGAACGTGAACGTGAACGTGACCCAGACCATTCTCAAGACCAAGAGCAAAGTTCTTTCCCCTCCGAGCCTAACCCTAACCCAGAGCTTCGACGCTCTGACTCTCTTTTGTCCTTCCGTCTTGACCTTGATCTTGGGCCTTCACTCCTCAGTGAGCTGCTGGGGGTCATGAGCCTTTCAGAAGCCCCAGCAGCTGAGACCCCAGCCCCTGCTGCCAACCCCCCTGCCCCTGCACCAAACCCTGCCCCTACTGCAAAACCCCCAGCCCATGCGATAACCACTGTAGACGCTGTGACAAGCCTTCCAGCCCCTGCTGTGACAAGCCTCCCAGCCCCTGCTGTGACAAGCCTTCCACCTCCTGCTCTGACAAGCCTTCCAGCCCCTGCAGCAAGCTCCCCATCCTGTGGACATTTCCCCAATGGGGTATCTGCTATGTTGGGCCCTGTGCCTGAGGTAAAGCCCAGTCCTGTAGGAGAGGGTTCCCAGGTACCCTCCAACATGGCCTTTGACAGGCGTGGAGCCAGCTGGGGGGCCAACCGGGCCAGCCGCCACTACACTGAGATGGATGCTCGGCGGGAGCTGGCAGGGGTGTTACCCCAAGTCCATGGCTCTTGGGAAAGTCTGAATGAAGAGTGGAGTGCCTCTCCTGCCAGCGGCAGGGCTCCTGTGCCCAGAGCTCCTGTGCCCAGCACGGTGCAGGCCAATGCCTTTGAGTTTGCTGATGCTGAGGAAGATGACGAGGTGAAGGTGTGAGGGACAGGCCATGGCTCCAGGTCCTGCCAGCTCTGGGCTCACAGGACAGAGGGCCTGAGTTCATTTGCCTAACAACTACACCTAGAGACATGGTCAGCTGCCCAACAGGAGTTGCCCCAAATCCTTCTTGGTCTATGCAAGGCTGGCATGGGTAAGGGGAGGGTCCCTGATGGCCTGACCCAGCTCCCTCCACTGCCCCTAGGCCCACTAGCCCTTCAGTTCTAACCTATGCCACCCCCTGTGGCCTGACAGTATGGCCTTTGTGCCCCAGGCTGCTGCCCTGGTGGGGTAGGGGGTGGGGCAAGCACCACACAGGACCATTGTCTGTGAGTGGGACTGCCTGCCCCTGCTCATTGAGAGCCACAGCAGGACTCCACTATGTTCTCAGTAGCCCGGGTCCAGGCTCCTCCTCAGATCCTACAGAAAAGTCAAGTGTGACTTCGCAGTAGATTCTGTCTTCTGTCTACCCTAGACCTGCCTCCCAAGTCTGATTGTAAAAGCTTTTCTGTTAAGATCTGTCTGCCCAAGGAGGCAGGCCTCGGGCCCTGCTGAGGTGTGCTTTCTCCTTCTGGGAGTTTGGAAAGTTGAGGACTCCCCCTTCTAGTGTGCCCCCCCCAAGCTAGGAGAGGGGGGCCAGATGAGGTAATGAGTAACCAGCCTGGAATGTTCAACGATAAGAAGCCCAGGTGGGACCCTTATCTGCAGTTTCTGGAACACCCTGGCCCCAGGTGCCAGGAACCATTATCTGCCCCATAATCCCATGGGGCAGCTTGGCAGGTGCTCAGATCAACAGGAGGGACACAGGTTCCCATACACAGGGTGGCACGGGAGCACCCCCCGTCCTCTCTTCTCAGCAGTACTATACCCCGTGCCTCAGTTTCCTCCCCTGTACCAAAGACGGGGGAGCATTAACATGCATGGAAAGTGCTAACAGTTCTCGCTGTGGAAATAATAAATGGATTCTTTTATTTGACCTTGACCTCGGGGAAGGGGTTAGTCAGAAGGGCAGGAGCTGAGAGAACCTCAGGGAAGCACAGAACCTAAAGGCTGTGGTTCTGCTGGAGGGCTGGCTGAAGCTGGTTTGGGGCTAAGGTCTTCTGAGGAGACGCTCACTCCAGCTTGAAGGAGGAGATCTGGAGCCCCTCCATGCTTAAGTAGTGCAGGTGGTTGTGGCCCAGCCGGTTGGGGAAGGTCAGCACGTGTCCGTCGGGCATCGTCACCTTGAAGTCTTTCTCTTGGAAGGCAATGGTGAACTGCAGGGGGAAGAAGCATGTCAAGAGAGCCTGGGAAGGCTCCTGACAGGTACCTGGTGGTGCTCCCCAGGTCGGGGCTGGAGGGATACTGTTTGGGCTCCCCTTTGACCTCACCTTGACCTCTGACCCCGGACTGAAGCACATGTGATTTTCTCGTTGCTCTGGTCCCCAACTGCCACCATCACAGGTGTTACAGACAATGGTGGATTCATTGAAGCGAGGGTTAAAATGCAGGTTCAGTGTGTCTTTCTGCTGGCCCAGGTTAAGGGTGAAGCTGTATGAAGTGACGGAGAAAGGCTTAGGACAGGGGGCTTTGGTTGACCCTACGCTAGAAGAGTCAGGGAAGATGTCGTAATTGAGATCTGTGTCAGGCTTTGCATTGTAGTGACATGCATGTCTGTCCTGGGAGAGACAGTTGAAGGACTGTCACCAGAGGGGTATGGGCAGGGGTAGATGGCTCAACAGGGTCACTAGAGGAGCCTGGGTTGGACATTCAGAACCTTTGAAAGTAGGACATTCTATGTGTGGGATTCCATCATGGGTGGAGGTTCTCAGACCAACGATATCTGCAAATGAGGAACCTGGATAGGAAAGGACTGTTTCTCTTAGCTCTTAGTCTGTGTACCCTCCTGCCTCCTTCCCAACTAACAATGGCTAGAGGTTTGTCTCAAGAGATGCTGCTGTACCCTTATCAGCCTGGTACTGAACAGCAGGGATGCGGTAGGGGTGTGGCTCAGTGCTCAGATAGAGGAAACAAGTGAGACCTTTGCTGCCCCCTCGTGGCTGCCTCTGGTTAGCGTCACAGGACCCGGTTAAGGGGGCGGTGTGTGAAAGGATGTATATAACACTACAACTTCAGTTCTACAACTTCAGTTCAGGCTCAAGACCTGCCAGGCCAGGCAGAGCACCGTCCCTCTCCATCTGCCCCTTTGGTGGCAGCTGAGACAAGGAACAGAGAGCACAGTTTCAGTTGTGATGTTCCGAAGGTTCCTAACCCAAAGCTTAGGTGCTAAGGCTGCTCCTAACAGGAGGCTCCCAGTTTTGTTAAGGAGCAGACAAAAAAGAGGAGTCTCTCCTTCCTGAGTCTTTGAAGGTCCCAGTCCTCAGCCATCCCCACACCCCACACCTTACTCACTGGTTAACGTCATTGTGGATCTTGCCTTTAATCTTCAGGGACACCCCTGATTTCAGGTTCAGGTTTGTGATCTCGAATTTCTCCTGGAGCAACAGAACACTTTCGTTAGACCCACAAGGAACCATGAGAGGGACCCACTGGCTGGCTACCACCTCACCATCCTGGATGACTCCTATCCCTCTCTGCCCTCATGGAGACCACAGCATTCTGACTCAGGTTTCCCAGAGCCCTCTCACCCTCTGCTGGCTCTCCTCCACCCCACAACCCAAGAAGAGACTGGCTAAGACTTCACAGAATGAACAGCCGGACCTTTGCCGACGTTGTAGTTTCCTGCTGCTCAAGTACCGAGCACTGCCCTCAGCAGACCCAAACCCTCGGTATGGTGTAAAAATGAGTTTGTTGGGCTGGGTGTGGTGGCGCCTGCCTTTAATCCCAGCACTTGAGAGGCGGGAAAATTTCTGTGAGCTTGAGGTCAGCCTAATCTACTTTAAGCAAGATCCAGGCCAGCCAGAGCTACATGGTGAAACCCTCTCAACAAACAAGCAAACAACAGGCAATACAATGCAATGACACATGCTTGCAATCCAAATACGGGGAGGTAGAGTCAGGGGGATCCCTGGGACTCCCTAGCCAGGGAGTCTAGCCTGATTGGCTAATTTTAAGTTCCAGACTGCTGAGAGACCTCGTCTCGAAGTAAGTGAAGAGCATTTCCTGGGGGTAACAGCTAAGGTTGTGCGTGCGCACCCCCACACTCCCCACATGCAGTATTCACGACACTAAAAAGGGAAGAATAATCAGAATACATTATGTGCAAGCCTACAATTGTCAAATAACAAAATTAGTTAACAAATCAGGGCTGGGATGTAGCTAAGTGGTAGAACATTTGCCTAACGCGTGTGTAAGTCCCAGCTTTCCACACCCAGCCCTCAAGAAGAAGAGACAAAAGCATTTGCAGAATGTCCATTGTGTGGCAGATGTTGAGGGAGACCCGCCCCTCCACCTCTGTTGCTCCGAGACCAATAGCAGCCATCTTCAGGCAGGTTCAGCATCCAGTCTGGGAGGCCTACGATCAGGCAGGGCCTGGCCCACATGGCAGAAATGAGGGTAGCCACCCCTGCCTGTTTTATCTAGCTGGCCCATGCTTCCAAACAGGGCACCAGCAGCTCCCTGGTTGTTTTCTTGGCAGCTGACTCCTCCTCCTCCATCCTTGATGTTTAAAAGGGAAAGGCTCAGTTTTCAAGCTACCACTTTGAAATGTCCGTCTTCCGCTCGTGACCAGAGAGTGTCAGCTGAGCTGAGTGAGTCTTACAGGCAGCATTTCTATACTATGGGGTTCTGCTTATTGACATGGTTTCTCTGTCTGGATTCTTCTTTATTATTATTTTTTTATGTATATGAATGTTTTGCCTGCATGGATGTCTGTGTACCATAGGGATGCCTGGTGACTGCAAAGTCCAGAAGAGGACATTGGATGTCCCTGGAACTGGAGTTACAGATGGTTGTGAGCTACCATGAAAATAAAACCTGGGACCTCTGGAAGAGCATGCAATGATCTTAATTGCTGAGCCACCTTGGCAGCCCCTTGACTTGTTCTGTTGACAAGCAGCACCAAAGATTCTTGAGTCACCTCCCCTATTGGGGAGGATGAAGGAGGGGGTAAACTGGGTGTGAGGCCAAGAGCACAGCTGTGGGAAGGTTGTCTGTCCTTTCTCACTACAAAGAAGGATGGAGGATGACTGATTCACATGCAAGGGAAGTTTTATACCTAGCCCAAATACCCTCTCTTACTCTATGTAGTCCAGGTTAGCTTTGAACTGATGATCTTCTGACAACTTCCTAAGTGCTTTGATTATAGTCATGAGCCATGGAACAGGACTGAGGTGGTATACTTAAAAGAAAGGGTAGCAGTGGTGGTGAACAACCTTAATCCAGACTCATGGGATGCAGAGGCAGGGAGATCTCTGTGGTGAGAATTTTGGAGTTTTTGGTTTCTTTTTTTAAAAAAAAAAAAAAACACAAATATTTTAGGAACATGTTTTCATTTTAATCCCAGGTGTGGGATATGGGGCTACTTCAGATTGTCTGTAACAGCTGACTATGTTTTGCCTCATGCTCTAGCAGGGGCGTGATTTTGCCAGCTGCAGACAGTTTCTGCGATTGTGTGACATGGAATGTTGGCAACTTTTCAGAAGGTATATAAATGCTGGAGCCCCAGAGGTGGGGGGTTGTTGTGGGTTGCTACTGGCCACAGTTTGTTAAGTAGTCATGGGCAGAGAAGAAATAACAAGAAGTTAGATATTCTGATGGCGAAGATCAAACTCACCCTTAAGGAGCCTTATGGGCCTAATCAGAGGAAGTTGTCTAATGATGACATTGCCCGTTTCCAACCACAGGGTTCTCTTTCCTTTCCTCTCTATTCTTTTTTCTCTCTTGTCTACTGTTAGGGCATTGAAAGGGTAGAAGAAAAGGGGTGGGGAAGGGTGGAAGAAAGTACCCACAAAGTAGCTAACGATAGCTACACATCTCTGTGAGTTCGAGGCCAGTCTGGTCTTCAGAAGACATTCTAGGACAGCCAGAGCTGTTACACAGAGAAAATAAATAAGTAAAATAAAAATAAAGGGAGGGGGGCTGGAGAAATGGCTCAGCGGTTAAAAGCACTGACTCTTCTTCCTGAGGTTCTGAGTTCAATTCCCAGAAACCACAGGGTGGCTCACAACCATCTGTAATGAGATCTGATGCCCTCTACTGGTGTGTCTGAAGACAGCTACAGTATATTCATATACATAAAATAAATAAAATATTTAAAAAAAATAAAATAAACATTCAGTCTGGGAGTAGGAGCTCTGATGGCAAAGACATTGCAATAGCAAGCACTTTAGAGCAGGGTCCTGGTCCTATCCCTAGGGAATGGGGTAGAACAGGTCTCTATTTGGGGCATCCTGTGTGATGTGAGATGGCTCACAGGTTCCCTGACCTCTCCTCACTAGAACCTTGAAGTCCTTCCTAGACGGCTACAACAAAAGCGCGTTGGATGGACTCTGCGTTCCTGGGGCCGAGAGATCTGGAGTTGAGAAGTGAAACAGCCCCTGTAGGACTCTGGGTTTAGCCAGATGGACGCTCTGCTCTCTTCAGGCTCTTGGAGGCAGAACTAGCCTAGGGATGTGAGTCGACCCGGAAAAGACAACTCACAGTTCCTCCCAGAAGAGCTAAGGGGCAGAGGCATGAAAAGGTGACACTCACACGTTCTCACTATGTGTGCATGCACCAGCCCCCAGGAAACCACGCCATCCACCCTACCCTGGCTTCCTGGAGTGAGCTATGGGACACCTCATCTTTACGTCCCTGACTTCCTGGCTGGAATGGAAGAACTGGAGCCCTTGAGACTGAGGGTGGAGGTACCGCAAGAGCTAGGGTACAAGGAAGGCCAGGGTTGGGGGTACATGGATATAAATGGGGATGCTGGGATCTGAGACCATGTGCAGACCCAGAGCCTTGTCCCAGCTCAACAAAACCTAAGACCAGAGAGATAGAGGGCAAAGTCGGGTGGGGGATGGGCAGCTCATAGGGGGGTGGGTGGTAAGGGTGGGTTGGACCAAATCCCAGCTCTACCTCTAGCTGGTCACGTGACTTGGGGCCAGCCTTACCCCATTGGGCCTGGCTTCCCCACTGCTGCTATGAAGTGGTTATCTAAGAAGAGAAAGATAAAAGCAAAAGAGATGGGCAAAATAGAGAAGGCCAAGGGGGTGTCCGGACCACAAAGGGGCTTCCTGAGGGGCAGCGCCAAGGATCTCACTCTCCCTTCCAGCAACATGGCAGCCAGTCATACGGACATCCTGTATACTGCCTACACTGACTTGGGTAGTGCCATTCACCACACACACACACACACACACACACACACACACACACTCATCCCACCTGACATCTGCTAATGTGGCCTGCTTGGAAATATGGTCTTGGCACAATGTAATATGTGATTGTGTTGGTTTAGGATAGGTCTTAAATCCACTGGAACTAATTTCCTAAATTTACAAGGAAGGGGGCTGGCCCGGGGGGTGGCTCACTGGTTAAGAGCACGTGCTGCTCTTGTAGATGACCCAGGTTTGGTTCCCAGCTCCCACACAGTGCTTCATGACTACCCATAATTCCAGTTCCTGGAAATCCAGTGCCTTCGTCTGACCTCTGTGCACCAGGAGTGCACATGGTGTAGACAGACACACACACACACGTACACACACACACACGCATTTGTGTGTGCAGGCAAAATACTCAAAAAAAAATATATATATATATGGCACAGAACACAGAAACACACCCACAAAAGGAAGACTACATGCAGAAGATGAGGGGGCAAAACCTGTATCTACAAAGCTTCCAGAGAAGGTACCTATGGGTGCCAAGCACCCACAGGGAACTGGAGTAGATAAATAAACTGCCTCCCTAGAGCCTTCAAGGAGTGCCAGGCCCGGCCCACCCTGGATTCCAGACTTGGCCATGACCATGAGAAAAGTCACTACGGTGGGGAGCCCCCTATTTTGAAGTTGTTTGTTCCAACAGCCCTAAAAAATGAACCTACCATCTAACCCCCAGGGAGTGCCATGTGGTCCTATCCTATACACATCAGGGGAGACCACTTCCCCTGAGAGAGAGAGAGAGAGAGATCAACTTGTCCAAAGTCACACCAGAAACTTCAGAGGAGCCAGATCGGAACACAGGCTCTTGAGAGTGTGCAGTACCCTTGTAATATGTAGATAACAGCTGCCTATTATTTCATTTTGAGCCTCAGTTTCTCTCCCTCTGTCCTTCCCTCCCTCCCTCCCTCCTTCCTTCCTTCCTTTCTTCCTTCCTTCCTTCCTTCCTTTCTTTCTTTTTTTTTTCGAGACAGGGTTTCTCTGTATAGCCCTGGCTGTCCTGGAACTCACTCTGTAGACCAGGCTGGCCTCGAACTCAGAAATCCACTGCCTCTGCCTCCCAAGTGCTGGGATTAAAGGCATGCGCCACCACCACCCGGCTCCCTTCTTTCTTCTTTATTTCAACAGGATCTCAGTATGTAGTTGGAACTCATGTAGACCAGGCTGGCCTCAAACTCAGAGATCCATCTGACTCTGGCCCTTGAATACTGGTCTTTGTGCATTGTACCATCACATCCAGTGCTGGTCAAACTCAGGGCTCCATGCATGCTGGACAAACACTTTACCCACTGAGCTGAATTCTATGCAGTTCCTTCGGAAGCGTGTTATTGCTTTTGTTGCTAGAGATCCAATCCAGGGCCTTGCACCTGCTAAATCATTGCACAGGCCCGATCATTGGTCTGGACCCTTCCCTCAGCCCCTGAACTTCAATTTCTCATCTTAACAAGACTCAGTAGAGATCAGCAGTCATAATTGGCATGACTGTTGCTGTCCTTGAAGAGGGAGAGGCAAAAGCTAGCCCTGAACCTGGTGGCGACAGAGACAGACAGACAGACAGCTTCAATGCTGAGGGGTTGAGAGATGATTGTCCACCAGCTGGTTGGTTGGTTGGTTTGTTTGTTTGTTTGTTTGTTTTTTGAGACAGGGTCCCTCTACATAGCTCCAGCTGTCCTGGAGCCCTCTCTGTAGACCAGGCTGTCTTTGGACTCACAGAGATCCTCCTGCCTCTGCCTCCCTAGTGCTGGGATTAAAGGTGTGTGTCACCAGCCTGGCAACCCAGCTTTCTTTTTGATTCTCCTGGAGAAACTGAGACAAAGGGAAGGGCAGCAATAATGGACCCCAAAACACCCCAACCCACACACCCAAGACAAATGAGCAGAGGGAAATCGGCCCAGAGGACCAGCATCCTCACCGACATGGTGACAGCTCCTGGCCACAGCTCTCCCAGTCACTCCTAGAGGCTTGTGCTCGAGGTATCCCTCTTGGTCAGGTTTATAATCCCAGAATATTACACATTAACTACTCCAAGGCCATAAATAAAGACTTTGGACCTTTATCACCTAATATCTCTTGGCCTGCATATGGGAGCACTCAACAAACAGGAAGTGGCTCCTCGCTCACTCTGCCTCCCGATCCTGAGCATCCTTCTGGCCCCCCTTCTGGCAATTCCTACCAGCCTCCGTGGTCAGTCCTCCACAAAACCCAAGGGAGGAGGCCCTAGTGCCACCCCCACACAAACCACAAACACCCCAATCTTGGCAGGCCACCCAGCCTCCTTGCTGAGCCCAGCTCCCACAACCACAAAAAAACAGGCTGGCTCTGTAAAAGATGCCCAGGCTTCTCATTTTCAGTGTGTCATGAGTCATTCAAAGACTTTTTCCCCCTTCTCTCATCCATGCTTTTTCTGATTATACATATCATTTGTTTCTTTTTTCTTCTTCTTCTTGTGAAACAGAGTCTGATCGTTTTAAAAGCCCAGGTTAGCCTTGGACGCTCTATTCGCCCGCTTCTGCTCCGAGTGCTGGGATTACAGGCAGGAAACGCCATAGCCGGCCGCACACATTTTGCTTCAAAAGTGATGCACAGTAGACTCAAAGAAACATCTAGGGCCAGTGAGATGGCTCAGCGGATAAAGGTGCTTGCTGCCAAGCCTGACCACCAGGGTTTGATTCCCGGAGCTCACATGATGGAAGGAAAGAACCAGTTGTTGCAAGTTGTCGCTTCTGACCTCCACACATGTACCATGGCACACATGCACACACAAATAAGTATAATTTAAGCGCTTAAAAATGGGCGGGAGGAAGATGCCAAAAGTAGACTCTTTTGTGAAGGCTGGGCGGTTCAGTGGTGTGGCGCATACTCAGGATACACACCCTGTGCCTTCCATCCCTGGTACCATGCACAAAACCGTGGGTTCTTTTGGGACACAGACCAAATGTGCAGAAGGGAACCCAAGGGCTGGGGACGCTGGGGGTTTGTGCTTTGCCCTTTATCTCTATGAATTTTGTGGTGATCGGGCTCTGTATACACAATTTTATACTGTCAGTAAGAAGAAATCCCACGTGGTTCCTCTGCTGGGAGGGAACCTGTGCTGTCTGTCCTCTCAGTGGGTTTGTACCACAGACACATCTGTACAGTTGTCTATCCCGCTTCACTCGGGAACACTGAGGCTCACAGACCTGCACTTCAGAACCAGGTGTCGCTGGCTGTGAAACACTCCAACTCTCCAGGGCTTAGTTTATGGAACCCGTGTCCTACCTCTGAGCACCTCCGCTCATCCTAATCTGCCCCATTAAAAACACTATCCCATTGGCACTCCCAACAACCTTCCCAGAAACAGAACTTTGCCAGCACTCCGGAATGGCAACCCACGGAGGCATCCATCCAAATTGGCAGTGACTGTGCTGGGCAGGGCACTTTGAAACCAGCCCTGCCGAGCCCCGTGTGGTGCCAGGAGCTGGTGAGTGGCTCACTGCCCAGTGTTCCCTTCAGACACCACTTCAGTGCGGGGCCAGGAGGGGAGTGGTTTATTTCCTTATTTTACCCACAAGGAAATGAATTGCTTCTCAGCCTTCCTCCCAGGAGCCAAACGAGATAAGACATTTGAAAGTGCAATAGAAAATGGACCTGGTGCTCTTCTGATGATGGCATTCACTCCCGCTCACCACAGAATCTGTGGCAAGTGGGCAGAAAGAGAACGGAAAGCTCACGTTTCTGAGGAGAACCCTCACAGCCAGAGGGACACAACAACACATAAGGCTGTCTACCTTTCTGGCTATATTTTAATGTTTGCTTGCTGGGTGTCACTCTAACCCAGGTTGGCCTAGAATTCACTAGTTACCTCAGGCTGGCCTGAGCTTATCCTCCTGCCTCAGGCTTCCAGGTACTGAGATTATAAGTGGGCAACCAATCCAAGGTTGTATGTATAGTTTATATCACTTGTGTTCGTGTGTGTGTGTGTGTGTGTGTGTGTATGTGTGTGTGTGTATGTGTATGTGTGTATGTGTGTGTGTATGTTTGTGTGTGTATGTGTATATGTGTTATGTATGCATGTGTGTGGTACATGCATGCATGCGGAACACACATCCACACACATGGATTTGGAAGCCAGAGGAGCCCATCAGAGCCTTCCTCCATTGCTCTGTCTTATGCCTTGAAACACATCTCACTGAGACACAAGTTCTTCCTTTTGGCCAAGCTAGCTGACCAGCAAGCTCACAGCATCCTCCTGTCTCCACTCTCCAGTGATGGGAGGAGGCACACACAGTCATGTGGGTGCTGGAGATTTGAACTCAGATCCCCATGTTCTCAGAGCAAGTGCTCTTACACATTGAGCCGTCTCCCCCAGAGGACTCTAGCCCCCTACATGCACGCTTTTGTAAGATCAACTCCACCCACATCACTGGACCTGTGATTTGCTTCTGACTGAAAGAGCTATATGTATAATACAGCAGGGATAGGCTGTCATGGGCAAGGCTAGTGCTGGGGTCTGAACGTTTGCCCCAAAGCTCATGGTGAATTCATTGTCTTCAGTTGTGCGCAGTGGTGCGAGCCTGTTAGGCTAAGGCTTGACAGAATCAAGAGCTCAGAGTCATCTTTGGCTACATGGTAGATGGAGGCCAGCCTGGGCTGCTGAAGTCTTAACGCAGGAAAAATAAATGCCATTGGGTCAATTATGAGGTTGGACCTTAAAGAGACGTTAGGCCACTTAATCACCTGGTAGATTAATGCCAGAATGGGCCCCTAATAAAAGCATGGGCTGGGCCCAACTTCCTCCCTGCCTGCCATATGTTCTCTCGTTCTCCGACACAGCACAAGGACCCTTTCCTAGTGCAGTGGCACGGTGGCATCCTCATGGACTTCTTAGCCTCCAGGACGCAGAGAGTAAATCTCTCTTGTTAATGCTTTGTTTGGTCTGTGGTATTCTGATACAGCAGCAAAAAAAATGACTCAAACAGGAATACTACCAAAGGACCATTCTCCCCGCCCTTATTCGGGTACAAGCAGCAGGGCCCTGTTGTAAGGATCTGACAAAAAGGCCAAAGGACTGAAGTCTCCATCTACACACAGGCTCAAGCTGCACGGGTGCTCTTGCCCTTGGATCTGACCCCAGGAATAGCCAGCTCAGTGCAGCTTGATGAGAGAGCTGAGCCAGAGGCATGGCAGCCTTATCAGCCCCTTCTAGGATTCTTACAGAAACTGTGAGAAATAGATTTTTTTTTTTTTTGTGACAGGGTGTCTTTACGTAGCTCTGACTTTCCTGGAATTCAATATATAGTCTAGGCTGGCCTCAAACCCACAGATATCTGCTTGTCTCTGCCCCTCAAATGCTAATTTTTTTGGTTTGTTTGTTTTTGTTCTTGTTTTTTGAGACAGGGTTTCTCTGTGTAGCTCTGGCTGTCCTGGAACTCACTCTGTAGACCAGGCTGGCCTTGAACTCAGAAATCCGCCTGTCTCTGCCTCCCAAGTGCTGGGATTAAAGGCGTGCACCACCACCGCCTGGCTCAAATGCTAAAATTAAAGGCACACACCACGACGCCTGGCTAGAAATCTTTTCTTTATCTTAAATCTCTACATTTGGGTAGATACATTCCCGGAAATAGATAAATATAGTGTCTCTCCCCATCTAAAGCTTGGGGAGAGAAACGCTGCTCAGGATGTGGAAGGACCCTCTGCCGGGGCTTATTCTTACACAGCCGTGTACTGAGTGGGTTTGATTGTGGGTTTCTTTTTCCACAAGTAGGTATGGTGGTGTCAGTGTCTATGTGTATGCATGTTTACGTGTGTGGACACACATATATGTAGTGTAGGGGTGTATATATGTGTAGAGAGAGGCTCTAGGCTGACCTGGGACATCTTCCTGGGTCACTCTCTACCTTGAATGTTGAGGCTCACAGGCAGGGCTACCGACTCACTAATGTTTTGTGGGTTCCGGGATCCGAACTCCTGCCTTCATGCTTTACAGTAAATGTTTCATCAGCTGAGCCATCCCCTCACCCCCACCCCAGCTCCTGTTCTTGAGTTTTTGAAATGGAGGTCTCACTATGTAGCCTAGGCTAGCCTGGAGCTCTTGATCCTCCTGCCTCAGGCTCCTGCGCACCTGGGTAAATGAACCTTATACACTTGTCTGTGCAGGTACCTCCTCCTAGCCCAGGACGCGGTGGCTAGTGGATGAGATAGAACAGAATCAGGTCTGCATGCCTCTGAGACGGCTCTGCCTGAGCTGCTCTCATGAGCTGGCCATGGGGACCCAGGTTCAGCTCCCTCTGACCACATGGCTGCTCACAACCATCTGTCACTGCACTTCCAGGGGAGCCAATGCCCTCTTCTGGCTTTTGCAGGCACCAGGCACATGTGGACTTCACAGGCATACACGCAGGCAGCCATACACATCCAGTCAAATGGTTTTCTAATGAAATCATTTGAACCATTTTGGGGTTCAAGACCCAGGGTATCCTGCCTGCTGAGCCTAATGGGGCACCAGATCCTTCGATTTCCAGTACCTTCTGCCCACAGGCCACCGGCTGTTAGGGGACTTTGGTCCTGAGACACCAGAGATTCGCTGCCTATCTCTTCTCCTTCCCTCTCCTCCCAGAAAACAAACAGATCCACACCTTTGTGAACCAGCCTGCTCCCTCCCAGCCCACTCCACGGCAACATCTATTTAGAGGGACAGGACAGAGGGGCAGAGGGGCAGAGGAAGCTGGTGGGGGTGGGGAAACAGGAAGCTTTGTGCATCAGGAGGGCAAATGTCAAGTCGTAGCTCTGTCGTCTGCAATGACTGGGGAAGGACATGTAGACTCTTAGTTTCCTCATCTGTGAAATGGAGCTCAAAGCACCTTGAGGGACTGTGGCGGCTCATTGCTGTAACCCTAACGTTCCAGAGGCTGAGACTGGAGGCTTACTATAAGTTCTAGACCAGCCTCCACTACATAGTGAATTCCAGGCCAACCTGAGTTACACCACAAGATTGTGTATCATTCGGTTGTTTG